GACTGGATATTGAGGATTCATATAACCAATACCGACTAGATTGGAGTTGAGTGTGGTAGTTCTTGTTGTTGCTATAGTTACCTTGCTTAACAGGACTTCCTTATATGTGTCTAGAAATCTTTGTCCTGTAGAGCCCGTCTTATCAATATGGCTGGAGCTTTCCATGCTTCTATGGCTTTAATTACTAACCTGCTACTTAAATATTATTCCTTTGTAAAAACGGGTTTTACAGTAGGAAGAGTTTTGAATCATGGATCTGTTTGCTCTATTCCCTCATTATGCGCAAATGGAGATGAAGAAAAAAAAATTAGGATCTGAAAATTTGATTGCCTTGAGTGTAAGGAGAATCACGTGATCTCAAGAGAAGCCAAAAGGGTGTGAAGTAGTTTACTTATCCAAGCAATTTGACAAAAGATAATACAAAAATGAGGGTAGTAACAACAATGGAATAATGTGAAATGGAGAGTAGTACACAACATATAGGGGAAAGAACAATAATGACAGATAAATAATGTGATAATAGAAGCACAAAAAACACCGATGTTAATCAAAATCAAAGAATAATATGTAATATTGCTTCCTTGTTTTGCTTTGTCTTGATTTTTTTTGTTTAATGTGCATATGAAGAATTCTCAATTATTGTGTGTGTCTGTGTGAATTTGTCACCTTTGATCGACAATCAACTTTATCCTAGTTGTCTTCATTTCCTTATGAGTAAAAGATTTTACGGTTGGTCACGAACCTGTTCTTCCTTTGAGTTTGCTGGTTGGTGGATCATCAAATTTTCTCTCACAGTTGCTTAAAATCTATCCTTCTTCCAACTTGGATGTGATATCTCTAGAGAGAATCCATATATTTCTTGATCAGTACCTATGTTCGTCCAGCTTAATGATCATATTTCGTATCAAGAGTTCACAGTGATGTATTATGCTCATCGCTGTGTTTTTTTCTCTGTGAAATACCTGGAAAATTTTCCCACGTCAACCTTTACAATTGTTATTGCTTATTGTGAATGGTCAGATGTCATGATTGAATAAGGTGTTGATTTATGATATTCTCGTTCAGTTCCACTCATACTTCAACTCCATTGATGTAAGCTTTGTCCTTTTTGGCCACAGATGTATGGTGTACAAGTTTGAGAACCGTCATTGTAAAATTTGTCTTTTGACTGAGTGACACCACGGAGTGGGTTGAAACTGTTGTGTTAATCTTAAAGTCTTTATTAATTCAATTTATGGGGAAAAATGAACACGCGCCGTGCATTAGGTATTCAAAGATCTAGTGAAACACAGCACAGTAATATGGGTGTCTGTGGAGCTATGTCGACATCTTTGTCCATTTTGCCGTCATTTGAAGAGAAGCATCTTAAAGTGACAGATTCTCTTCATGTGCTCACAGAAAAGGAACAAACCACAAACCTTATTTCCTCACGGGCAATCCCGTCTGCATCTAAAAGTGGAACAGTAGGGCATCTGTTATCTTCCACTTCTGGACCCCACAAACATTTTCACTTTTCTTCAACCCCCTCTCGAGAAAGTAGGAAACATAACTATCCATTTATTTCTAGTGAAGCTTCTGCAGCAACCTGCCAATCTTCACTCTCAAACATTCATTCGACATCATTGGATAATTACCCCATGGAGAACAGCAATAATTCCTGGGGCGAAGATGCATATCATGACTGTATAAATTTTTCTACTAATGTTCCTGTTCAGAATGACCAAGTCGAAAGCCTTGCAGTAGTCATGACGTCTGATGACCAGGTTAAGAGATCTGATTGGCAGGACTGGGCTGATCAGCTAATTAATGATGATGATGTTTTGGATTCGAGCTGGAGCAATATTCTTGTTGATATCAATCCTCCAGACACTAAGGTTCGTTTCCGTTACCTTATTGCTAATGTTTCCTTTCTGGGTGCGGTATGCACCTTTTTGTTTGTTTCAGAACCGTTTGTTTGGGCAGGTAATCACCACTTTTGCCAAGTTACAATTTAGTATTTATCATAGAAATTTCTCTTATTTGTTTATGTACATGAAACAAAATTTAATATTGTTGTACACTTCAAACACATCTTTCCGTTGGAACCACTCCCGAGTCCTGATTACGTGGTACGGGTTCCTTGCTTTCTGCTTTATTTGACATTGATTATCATTTTTCAAATCAGTTTCTGAGAGCATCTGAAGTCCATGCTGGCCAGTCCGATACTCTTCCTCCTCCTCTTCCTGCTGCTGCTGCATCGTCTGGGCAAAACTACCCAGTTGGTAGCCCATCGTCTACCGCAGCACAGACGAAACCTCGGATGCGATGGACACCCGAGCTTCACGAAGTCTTTGTAGAAGCTATCAGTAAGCTTGGTGGGAGCGAAAGTGCGTGACCTCTTTGTTTCTATGTTCTATTTCTCTTTTTAGCAGTTTGGATGAGTAAGAGTTAACGTTTAACATTATTATATTGGATTCACACATTTGACTTTACAGAAGCTACACCAAAGGGAGTCTTGAAGCTCATGAATGTTGAAGGCCTAACCATCTATCATGTCAAAAGCCACTTACAGGTATAATAAATCCTTCCCATTAACCTTTTCCGAGGTGACAATTTATTTACCTTATACATTTCATTTTGAATTTCAGAAATATAGAACTGCCAGATACAAACCAGAATCCTCGGAAGGTAGAAATTTCCTCTTTGATTAGCTGATAACTTTTGCATCCGTCAAGGACTCAGTATACATTTTGCTAAAACGAAAACATATGTGTTACATCTCCTCATACTTGTACTTCCTGCCTCTCTAGTTTCTTGTGCATGTGTCAAAGTGATCCCCAACTGTGAATAAAACTAGGGATCTTAAGTTAAATTTATTGATGGTCTGTTGGACTTCCCCACAGTTTTTGAGATGAGAAGATTGAAATTCACAGACTGTAATCTCATTGCAGGAACACCGGAAAAGAAGACCACCAGTGTGACAGAGATGCCATCTTTGGACCTGATAACGTAAGTCTTTGCTATAACACTATGCATATCTATTGATTATGCAGCTGTCACACTTCTTGGATATCTGTTCGCTATGGGGAATAAGCGTTAAACACAATATGATATGAGCAAAGTTTATTTGATTGTAAGAATGTGTAATTTTACAACTGCAGATATCACCCCCTCCCTGTCGTTTTATTTTAATTTAATTGACTTGCCAATAAATTAAAACTCAGTCCAAAGAACAAATGAAGATCATCGTTTACAAACTCGAAAACATGCAAGGTTTGTCCATGTCCCTCTGTTTGGGAGCATCTGATAGAAGGACCAAAAAGTGTAGCATAGGGAATTCTTGTGATAGCAGCTAAATTCTAATCTAATTCTGGTTGCAATTTCCGTTTCCTGGATGATATAGTTGAAGTCTTTTTTGTGGTGATTGATTGTTAAAACTATATTTGGATTTTGGTAATAGGACCATGGGGATAACAGAAGCACTAAGAATGCAGATGGAAGTCCAAAAGCAGCTTCACGAACAACTTGAGGTGCGCGTAAACGCTCAAAATCTCCACCATTACTCATGTATCTATTCTTGCTTTTCTTTCTCCTGTTTTCATTGTCAAATCAGAAGTCAAAAATCTCTGGATAATTGAGAATGTAATCTCAAAAATCCTGTGCGTTGTGCGTCTGTAAAGACACATATCCAAGTTTGTCACTATTTTAGCAACATCTCAATGTATAGTGTGAAATTATAATAGGGAGAGCACACCACATTAAACAACTTGCAACTCCACCAAATTGCAGATGACATGGTCACTCACTCCATTCAGTACCTTTTTCCGTTTTAGTTGATCCATCATCCATGGCATAAGTATCTGACAAAATATCTGTAGTGCTTATGTAGCGGGTAGTTAGAAGCTTTTCTGGGTAAAACTACTTGAATACAGAGACCCGAAGTTATTATCAGTAATTTCATGAAATGTCAAGTTTTAGGGAGTTACTGAAACAACATCAATTACCGCAGAACTGAAAAGAATTGATTTCCTCTCAACTTGGAGCCTGTGTTGCTCGAACTCTTCAAAAATGCCGAGGGGTGCATGTCGGATCTTCCAAAAGTAGTACATTTTTAGAGGATCCGACAGGGGTGAGGTTTTGGAAATTCCGAGCAACATAACTTGGAGCTGATTCCTTTATCATCTTTTCTCCATTTCCTGTTTCCTATTTGTGAGAGTTTTTGATTTCCTCTAATACTTTCTATGGTTATAAAAGAATAAAAATCTATCAAGTATAATTATAGTTTGAATATCCATTTCCTCAGATCCAGAGAAAGTTGCAGTTGCGGATCGAAGAACAAGGTAAATACCTTGAAATGATGTTTGAGAAGACAAAGGACATAGGAAAAGATCTAAAGGTATCATCATCATCAAGAACAGATGAACATCCTTCACCATCCAATAAGATGAAGCATACATCTCCCAACGACTAATCAGAAGCACTCGAGAAAGATCGTTTGTGGAACTCACCAGACAAAAAAGCTCATGAAGATCATGACTCAGATGATAGAGACTTGTGTTGTTCACCTACATCGAAACGAGCAAAAACAGAGGAAATATCAGGTCTTCATGAATCTTGACAGACTCATTTGATATGTGAATTGTCTTTGCAAAATGCTGTTGACTTGATGAAAGCTTTTGGCTAATAATTGTGTCATTTTTCCTTGTTTCATTCTCTTTTTTCCCCGACCTTAAGGATCAACTGTGTTCTTCACTAATCATGGCATGACTTGAATCATCATCTCGTAGGTTTACGAGTATGCTAATAGACACAGGATCTTTCTGTCCTATAAGAAAGTAGCTTGTCTGTCGTACTGACTGTTTCATTGAATGTTTCAATCATCATTCTCTATAGGCTTAATATAGAGGCACCTAAAGTTGTCACAATTTAGACACCTCAAGTAGGCCTCGTTCCGATTGAAAACACTCATACAAGGCTCATTAGACCATTTCACAAAGAAAGTTGAGCGAAGAAAAGAGAGGAGAAATAGAGAGGAGCCGAATCCCTCTAACCAAAACACAATAACCAAACAGTAACATTATGTTATGTTACGTTACACCAGTTGTAACCAGACTACAATAACCAATACATACAAAACAAAAGAGATGCAACCTACAATACAAACAATAGCTGCTAGACCAACAGAATGTGCTAAAGTAGCATACATACCAGTTACAAATGCAATAACAACAGCTGACATTGCCACAAACTGCAAATAAATTGCAATCTTATGAAGTCTTAGTATAACTTCTAACTCTGTAACCATTAACCCTGCAACTGACCCTGGTACATATGTTATACTTGCTCCCATGGCAAAGTGAGTAAATACAGCAGCAGCTGAACTTGTAAACGCGATGGCATTTGTAACAACAAATACACCAAATGATGTACTCTTCAATAGAATCGCCATCCCTTTATCAGGGCTAACTCTATCACTGTCAAAACCTCCAGGTAATGTAAAACCAGCTGTGAATGTCACTGTCATTATTAAAGCAGCCACAACTAGATGTATTTGAGCTGCCTTCATAGTATTTTCGCGGGATTTTTCAGGATCCTGCCTTATAAACATAGCCATTTCTTCTCAAAAATTTGTTATCCATGCTTCCAAAGTAACTACCATTTTATATAGAAATATTAGACTTAGCTTCTTCATGAATCTCTATAATAGAAAAATAAAAAAGTAACATTGCTTGCCTTGACCAGAAGAAAGGAATAATTTGCTTTACCTTGATAAAAAATAATATGTTCTTGCTTTGCTTTTTAGTTTCTATTCATGCAACAAATATATATGAGAGACGTACTGAAAACACCCCTGGAATTTTTAGTTTCCGTTGGATAATAGACATGCTTATCAGTTATTAAAGTTAACAAGTTACATCCAAGTTCTAGAGTGATTTAGGCATACAAACCAAGATAATATAATACATAATACTATAATAAGAATTCAGAAGAATTTTGCCATAAAAGTTCTGTTAACTACAAAACTTACACATAAAATATGTCAAACGATACAAGATGATGATAGATCTAGGATTTTCACTAAGGTGATTCAAAATATAAAAAAGTAAACAGACAAACAAGATATTATTCTCGTCTTATTAGTAAAATCTCTGACCCCGCCACTACTGATTTGTTGTTTCTCCAGTCAATCCTTTGTAAATAAGAAGAAGAACCAACACATAAATAATGAAAGAAAGGCAACCAATGGCACAAACAGAAGTAGCTAGACTAACTGAATGTGACAATGTAGCATACAAACCAGTTACAAATGCAATAACAACAGCTGACATTGCTAAGAACTGTAAAATTGTTGCAACTTTGTAAATGTTCTTCAGAACTCTCAGCTCTTCTTTGGTCTTGGGGCGATGATTAGCTGCCATGACAAAGTAGCTAAACACAGCCCCCGCGGAGCCTACAAAGGCAATGGCATCTGTGACCACGAATGCACAAAATGCTGGTTTCTTCACTAGAATCGCCATTCCTGTATGAGGGCTATCGTGATCATTCTCAAAACCTCCTGGTAGTGTGAAACCGGCTGCAAAGGTGACTGTTACTAGTAGTGTAGCTACAACTAGATGTATTTGAGCTGCCTTCATAATTTCTTTGACTCTTCTTGTATCATCTTCATCCAAATCCATCATCCTATGTATGACTCGATGACCTCAACCTTCCTTTTTCTCCCGGCAGAGCTATCTAACCTCTGTTGTCTTGCTAGCTCCGACTTCATTTACCCTGCTTGCAAAACCCTTATATAGAAAAAGTTAATTATATTAGACTCTTCTTCATGAATATCTATAATAAAAACCTAAGTATCATTATTTGCCTTTGATCAAAAGGAAGGCATTTATTACTTTGCTTTGGTTGAAAGAGAGGGATTTTATAGCTAAAAGGGATAATATGTTGTTTTATAGTTCCATTTCATGAAACATATATACTTTAATTACTCCCTTTCTTTCACTTTGTTTGTCTTGTCAAAGTTTAACTTAGCACTAAATTTAATCAAGTAAGGAAGATTTTTAAAATTCGTGGTTTAAAATATTCCATTACATTTGAAATATGTAGTCTTAAACATGCCTCGTGTGACTATCAAACTTCTCATTAAGGAAATATACTGAAGTGATTTAGGCATGAAAATCAAGATAATTTATTACATAGTACAATAATAAGAATTAATAATAATTTTGACATAAAAGTTCTCGTAACTACAAAACTTGCACATATTTACACATAGTGACGGAGCTAGGATTTTCACAAATTAAGACACTATTCAACAATTCCTTGTTCCTTAGTAAAATTTTTGGCTCCACCACTACTTAGCGGCTTCTGTGTAAAGAACATAAAAAACCAAGACATAAATAAGGAGCGCAAGGCAACCTATGACACAAACTGTAGCAGCTAGACCAACTGAATTTTCCAAAGTAGCATACAAACCAGTTACAAATGCAATTACAACTGCTGACATTGATAGAAACAGCAAACTTGTTGCAAGATCAAAAGTTTTCAGCAGAATTCTCTGCTCTTTTTTTGTTAAAGTGATTTCTAACTCTCCTCCGGTCTTTGGCATATAAGTCATTGCAATGACAAAGTAGCTAAAGACAGCCCCCGCGGAGCATGCAAAGGCAATGGCATCCGTAACAACAAATGCACAGAATGCTGATTTCTTTGATAGAATCGCCATCCCTTTATCAAAGCTATCTTTATCGCTCTCAAAACCTCCTGGTAGTGTGAAGCCGGCAGCAAAGGTAACCGTCACTAGTAGTGTAGCCACAACTATATGTATTTGAGCTGCATCCCTAATTATTTTGATCGTTCTTTTATCATTATCGTATGAATTCATCTTCGTATATACGAGGGGATGATCGATCTCAACCTTTCTTTTCCTCTTGTCAGATGTATCTAACCTCTGTTGAATGCATTTACCCTGCTTGCAAAACCATTATATATATAGAAAGAGTTCATTGTATTAGAATCTCTAAAATAGAAAACTAAGTATCCTTTGACCAAAAGAAATGAATTTGTTACTTGCCTTCATTGGAAGAGAGGGATTTGCTAGATAAACTTTGCCTTACATCAAAAGAAAAGGATGATATGCTGTTTGGATTTTGCTCTATTTTGCTTAGCGATTAGCTCATGAGCCAAATCCAACAAATTTTCAACCAAACCATTTCTTCAGTAGTGAAATGTGTCATTCTTTTTCAAACGAACAGATAAAAAGGTAGCGTACAGCAAAGAGGAACAAAGGTAATAGTAGTACTAGCAGCAGTACACAAAAATATTTACTAATAAAAAATGATCATTGATCATTAGTGACAATTAACTAACAGTAATAGCTTAATGAGCCCTCTTTGTATATGTCTTTGAAGCCTTTAGTGACATTGGTTCTAATGACACTTAAATAATGCTGGTAAAGATCTTAGCACTCTTTATTAGTATCTACATTTATTGCTTCTAAAAGTTGTTTTTGTTGTAGTGATTGTCTATTTCTAGAAAAGCATTTGCAACCTATATTTCTACATCTTGTAAGGCTATACATTGTCATCATGAACATCTCTCCCATGGTTTTCTATGAATTCGAAAAACCTAACTCCTTGGCGAAGAGTTTATGCCATGTCGTAAAGAATTTTTACACTATCAGGTTATATTGATCACGTAACTCTCCCGATCAACCATTGCAAGTTTTATAGTAAGTTTCAGGTAGCATTGATCACGATGTCTCTCGCTCTCTACATCGTGTTCTTCCTCTATGCCTTGCTTCCAAGAACATAAGTAACCCACAAGTACATAACAAAAGATATGCAACCGATGACACAGACAGTAACAGCAAGACCAACTGAATGTGCTAAAGTAGCATACATACCAGTTACAAATGCAATCACAACAGCTGACATTGCCACAAGCTGCAAAAAGGTTGCAAACTTATAAAGCCTCATCACAACTGGCAACTCTGTTACAGATATTACACTTGCTGCCATCGCGAAGTAAGTGAATACAGCTACAGCTGATGATGTAAACGCGATGGCATCAGTAACAACAAATGCACGAAATGCACTTCTCCTTAGTAGAATCGCCATCCCTTTATTAGTGCTGTCAATATTGTTGTCAAAACCTCCTGGAGATGTGAAACCAGCAGTGAAGGTGACTGTCATTATTAGAGTTGCAACAACTAAATGTATCTGAGCTGCTTGCATAATATTTTCGCGATCCATTATTCAAAAAACTCCAAATTATTAATGTTCCTGTGTGCATTTCACTTTCGTTTGGATGAAACATTATATAGGAAATTTCAGAAACTCTTGATGAAGTATTTCATTAGTTCTATTATAATTACATTGACTTTGACAGAGTCAGTTGTCAACTCCAAGCCATGAACCATCCCATTTTATAAGTCATTTATCATTACTGTTCAGGATGATTTGTCAGGTTGTCTATAATATTTTGTCACGACTTCTTCATTTACGTTATTTCTTTCTATATACTGCTTTGGACTGTCTGTCTTTTCCTTGAGCTGAGAATCTATCTGAACCGGTCTCTCAGGGGTAAGGTATGCGTACTCTTAAAATTCCAGGCTGGTACATGAACATGTAGAAGTGTATGTGTATCTTAATAAAGTCTTTGTTGAGTATTAAATTATCTTAAAATGCATGGTTCATGAACTTGTATAGAAGTATATTTCTTAATTTAATTCTTTGTTGAGTCTTTATATTAGAATATCTTCCAGGCTGGCCAAACATCATATAAAATTCAATGGAAAGGGTAGAGGGACGAGCCGATTAAGCCAGGATTTTCATTAAGGATAAGTAAAACATAGGAAGAAGCCAAAGGGATTCCACATCAAATCTATACATATATAAAGAATAATAATTTTATGTATAAACGGGATAATTTTATGTCGAAGGAGGTTTCAGATGAATCCCTTGGTAGTACATGTTTTCCCTCGGACCTAGGTATTAAGAAGTAAAGTAAACTTGTGAATCAAATTGCTGCAAACATCTAAACACAAGTAAAAAAGAAAATTTATTTGGATTAAATGAATGTTGACAAGAAAAACAAGTTGAATTCAAGAAAAGTAATGGGAGCACTCAAATATAGAGTCTTGTAACATCACTTCAGAAACAAAATTAGTTTTCAGTCTTGCCCTTTAACTTTCAAAGTTTCATATGCCAATGAGTGAAAATTTGACAAAATTTGCCCCAAGCAATGTTCATGGCATAATCATCAACTTACCACTTATGGTGAGATCCCAAGGAGCAAAGTTATACATACTTTTTTTCTTTTTCTCTGTCACTTTCTGAACTTTTCATAATAAACTCGAGGGATTAGATGTAGATAGGTTATAGGTAAGTTATTCTAGGTATTGGCATCTCAAGGGCCTCCTCCGCCTCCTTTTATGGAAACCACAGGTGCACGGAAGGAACTGCGACTAATCAAGTGAGAATCAAGAAACAAAACTATGACCGTGATATCATCATGAAAATGCCGCCTCACTCCTCTATCTATCCTTTTCAGATCCGCATATCTCATTTCTCTCTTCTTCGCTGCTTCCTGAAGGGCGGCTTTTATAAGTTTTCTAGCAATGCCCTGTACAAATTCGGAAATGTTAGTTCAATAGAGAAAACAGCTGACAATCATTTTAGTGCCAACAGTCGGTCAACGCAAATCACTGTTACTTGAAGTAGATAGGTCATGTAGTAAACAAAACTTACATGCTCAATTGCATAATGGAATAAGCAAAGAATCAACATATAGTGTTGATGTCTAGAGAGACACATTAAACACTAGTACAAGCATACATGTGGAAACACTTCACAGTGACCACCCCTCAAGAGTCGATATGAATGATACAAACAACAACATACCCATAGATTACAAACTATCAAGAATTAATAATACTTTTTATTTGTATTTACATATTATTGGAATGAGATGAGTTTAAATGCAATAACATGGACAATGAAGATTCATATAGCCGACCAGCAACATGGCTGAGGTGTAGTTGTTATTGATGCTTTAGATGAAAGAAGGAAGCAACACAGAAGGAGAGGATCGAGATGGATAAGGTTTTCCAAGTTGCATTCATTTTGGCAAGAGATAAGAAAACAGGGGCCACAGATATGAAGGTTTTGAGGTCGAGGATTAGTGTAGAAGGATAGTAGTTAGCCGTGTGCGGTAGTATTCTTATGAGGGAGAAGCAGGGATCTAGTCTCATCTTCTCCTCTTCTCCGTATTCACTACTTTACCTAGTATTCACATAAGTATCTTTCTCTTCTTTTTTACTGCTACATGTTACTTCAATTGCTTTGTTTATCTTGCTATTTTATTGTCGTTAGTTTCCTTTATATCCTACTTTGATTGTACTCTTTTGACCCGAGAAATTATCAAAAACGACCTCTCTGCCCCAACAAACGTAGGGATAAAAGTCTATGTACATCCTACCTCCCAAGACCCCACTTGTGGGATTACACTGGTATGTTGTTGTTTGTTGTAAGCAAATAGGGAGAGAGATCTTAAGAGCTGCATCTAATCACAATCTACGTATAAGTTGTTCCTTTTTAATGGAAATTTACCATCAAAGATGTGCACACAGGAAGAGAAGGAAGTGCTCTCTTTCGCTCGCTCTTGTCAATAAATGAGAATGATGTTATGACAAGAAAAATTAGAAGATTTGATAACCGGGGAGATTCTTCCTTGTCAAAATTAAATTAGGACAATCTTACATGGTGTTCACAACTGCTGACAATGTCCACAGCCTCTTGATTGCTGAGATGCTCCCATAAGCCGTCTGATGCAAATATGAGAAACTGATCTTCTGGAAGGAGCTTATGTACAAATACTGATGGCTCAGCAAGGAGAATAGGCTTCTGGAATGTTCCAGGAAATCGAAACTTAGGGAGCAAAGGCTCTCTGTTAAACTCTGCTCTCTTCAAATATGCATCACCAATTGATCTTGAAACCTGCAAATACATTGAAATTTCAGCATCATGATAACAAGTTGATGTCATCTGCTTCAGACGCTTAGATATGTTGCAAAGTTTCTACGAAGTATTAGTGCAAGTGGTTTCTTTTTTAACTGTCTTCCGCCACTGAAGCTTAGCATGAAGCGTAGAGTATTCTATTTGTGCTTCTTTCAAGAGAAAGTAACATAATGATGGGCAGTGAAATGAAGGCATGAAATAGGACAGGAGAGAAACAACAACTATAATACCCAGTGAAATCCCACAATGTGGAGTCCCAGGTGGGGAGGGTAGAGTGTACGCAAACCTTACCCCTAGCTCTTGGAGGTAGAGAGGATGTTTCCAAAGACCCTCAGCTCAAGTGCAGCAAATCCAAGTATTAAAAAAAACAAAGACAGTGAAGAAAACATAGCAACTAATAAGGAAAGCAGTCCAGAGCATACAAGAAAGTTACAATAACAAAAACATAATAATTTGATAATCAAAACACAATATCAACTGATGAAAGATATCAAAAGCAAGAAACTACAAGAATACGGCCAATACTACAACGGGAACCACCAAGCTAAAACCTGTGGAAAAGAAAGACAACGCTCCATAACCTACCAACCTTCTACCCTAATCCGCGACCTCCACACCCTCCTATCTAAGGTCATGTCCTCGGTAAGCTGAAGTTGTACTATGTCTTGTGATCCTATCTAATCACTCAATACTTTTTCGTCATACCTCTACCTCTCCTTGTACCCACTATATCCAACCTCTCGCACCTCCTCACTGGACAGGAAATACCAATAAACTGAAATAGTTTCTTTATACACCTATTGGTGGAAATGGCAATTCAGTCAGAAGATCCAATAAATAAGTGTATGTAACGAGCCGCACAGTGAGCATGATAACATGTAACTAAAATACCTGTATAATTCCCTTCACACGCCAAACCTTGTGCTTTAAAACTACCACATTTGGATCATCAGGATGCAGTGAGCGCAGTTCCTCACGGACAGATTCCAAACTCGCATTATGTTCAGAAGATAATTGAACTGCTTTGACCTCTTTCAGAGCCCTCTCCTGTTTTCCTAACACAGCACGAGAATCTCCAGCATTTGCAATGTATAACATGCCACTGCATATAATACCCACTAAGCAGCATGATCCCACTGAAGCAATTTGGGGTCTAGTTTGCCATTGCTTTCTCACTAGAGAAAGAAACTCCTCTTCTGTTGCCAAATATGCCTTGCTTATGACATCGGCTGACATTACTTGATCCTCTGAGGTGAATTCTGCATCACAAAGAGCTGTCGTGTGAGTAACATTCACATCCAGCAATCTTCAAACCATATGCAAGAGAAGAAGAGTGTGTGCACATATTGAAGGGTGAGAGAGAATCATCAAAGCTTCTTTTACTCAAGTATTTTCTTGTTTATGGGGAGGGGAGGGAAGTGGGCAAGCAGGAAGTGAGGCTGATCAAATGCTATATTTTGGAATAAGTAGATAGGCTTAACCAACTTTTCTATAACATAATACATGAGTGGTGAGATCTGTTATCTTCTCTTTTTGATGGGTAGAATTTTAATTGGTTGTTTCGCTAGTTTTTAGATGATGAGATTTATTAGAAGAGGAATTCCCCTAGCAACAAAAATCTAGGCTTTGATCTCTTTTATGATTGGAGGTATATGTCAATTAGCAAATGGGTGTACGGACTTTAAACCCAAGAGACTCATCATGATTTGAGTTATGAAATATGACAAATTCGTGATGACTGCGTACTATGGATATTTCATGGACATGGAACCTTGGTACTGAAAAACTAAGGGTCAAATTCAATAATTTGCAATACCTGGATAAGCCGATAAGGAAACTAAAAGAAGTTATTGGAACTATTAGCTCATGGTGCAAATAACGTATGTCCTTAAGTCAAGACAGAACCCCTGGCTTCTAAGGAACACACATTAGCACCTTGGTGTCTGCATGGAACCACAGCCTAAGTGAAGCGAAGAACTCAACATACGGCACACCTAGTGTCTAAGCACGCCTCAGTAGCAGATTTAACAACATTCATTTACTATAAACAGGAGGAGACATATAACATGAAGCACAAACTGGAAATACATGTGTGTGTGTGTATGTTTTGTATGAATGCATTATATACAATAAATGATAAAATACAAAGAGTTACTGCAGGGAACATAAACAAAAGATATTTCATGCTTCTGAAGTATATTTATATATGTAAGACACAGATGAAATGACAAATATACAGGGGATATTTGAAGCAAAGCATAGGAAAGAAGAAAAAGCATACTCTTGACATTCTCAAAAAGGCGACCATTTATAAACCGGGCAGCTTCGGCACCTGCATGGCCATCATATATTCCTACAAAGGTGCCCTGAGGACCTGATTCAAACAAACTCATTGATCCCGATTCAAGCTGGCTCTGATCCTCCAATATATTATTCGCTTGAATTACAGCCATCGAGAACTCCCCGTTAACATGGTGCCCCAAATCTTTATACCACCACAATCCATCAACACTTCCGCCAGGGTCTCCTCCTCTACTGCTGCTATTTTCACCTTCATTATCTAATGTAGGCTTCCAACAAGGGTATACATACTTTTTCCATGTACTTGTCACCATACCTTTGCATGATACTGCTATTATCAACTCACCCAAATGGTCTAGGCAATCAAGTACTTGCAAAAACACAATTATTCCTAAATCTTGTCAAAGTCCCGTACTTGTGCATATATCAAGCAACCCAAATGATCAAGCAATCAAAAGACTAATCAAACACCAATTGTTTCACAATCAACACCCCAGCTTGAGACCCTATGCTGTAAATCTTGCAAAAAGTTCCAGACTTTGCGCATATATCTAGAAATGCATACAGTTAATCTGCATACCCGGAAAGCATTAGCT